GTTGTCATTCATGCTCAAAGTTTTCATCAAAACCATGTCAATCACACTATCTCACTTCTAAAATCAAGGATTAGCGATTTCCCACCCTCCCTTTACAGAATATAGCAGCTCTTTGCAGCTTACTGCTCCCTTTAGTTGTTGCTGGAAACAGTTTCTGTCAAGTATAGGAAGAATGATCTCCAGAAGAAATTGGTCTCCTGGAAACAAATACACCTAAAACGTATAAAACATCCAATAGATCAAAGCAAGTACAAAAGCAAGTACAGCAAGTGCTTAGTGGTCTTAATGCATATTTGATCATATTTGTTAGCCATTTATTAACCATAATCAAATTAATAAATCTCTACCCTGTATATGCTTTAAGGACATTTACCCAACAATGCATTTAGATAGAATTCATGCCAACCCATGAAGTTCTTACTTGTGCTTTTTGTGTCCTATGGGATATTGCATTTATTGCAGTGGATGAGGAATGTATCACTGCTTAGGATCTTATGGAAAAATAATAGCTCTGCCTTAGAGGGGCAGTACTTGCATATATGAAAAGCATTTTGGATCAAGTGAAAACATCTGCTTCTATGTGATTATAAGTTTTCTCAAACTTTTTGGAAAGGTGTTTGGGTCATTCTATAAATGGAGTCTCTCAAACTAGTATTTTGAAGGAAAAATGATGTATTCTGCCCATTGTTATGTTCACTGACAGGATTTTTCTGTGGTAAGACTAAGTTAAATCTGAGAGTTGTTTTTACTTTTAATTTATGAGTAGGTTATTTAGAATCTTAGAATTTAAGGGTTGGAATGGACCTTACAGATCATCTAGTCCCAAGGCCTCCTGTTATGGGCAGGGCTACCTCCTCACTAGATCAGGTTGCTCAAGGCTTCATCCAGGCTGGTCTTGAACGGAACGCTGGAGCAGCCACCACGTCCCTGGGCAGCCTGTGCCAATGTCTCATCACCCTTAGAGTAAAAAACTCTTTTCTAATATCTGACCTAAACTTCCTCTCCTTCAGTTTGAACCCGTTACTCCTTGTCCTATCACTGCAGTTCCTAACAAAGATTCCCTCTCCAGCTCCCTTGTAGGCCCTTCAGATATTGAAAAGTTGCTATGAGGTCTCCATGCAGTCTTCTCTTCTCCAGGCTGAACAGCCCCAACTTCCTCAACCTGTCCTCAGAGGGGAGATGCTCCAGTCCTCTTATCAACTTTGTGGCCCTCCTCTGGATGGGCTTCAGCTGAGGTCTTGCCAAATATCAGAGCCTTAACTTAAATAACAAAGACCTTTTTCTTCTTCAAACTCTTCATATTTGTTAGACTTGAGTTGTGTAGTGGATTCTTTTCAAAGATCTGTGCTTTAAGGTGCTACTTTACTATGTAAAATTCTTGAGATGTCAATACCGGAAATTTTTCTCAAACTGACTTTAAGAGGTTTAATATCTGTTTCCTTGGTTTTGTGCGTTGAATTATTTTTGGGTTTGGTTGGTTGTTTTCTTTCTTTTTGGTTTTACAGACCTGCTCTTTTCTATGTGTTGGTTTCCCAAGTACTCATGAGCAAGAGCATGGTGGTGAGCCATACAATTCATGACCACCTTTTCTGTTTGGCTGTACCACAGCCTTTCTCCATGAGTTGTAAGGCTGTATGCCATGCCCTGTCCCTTATGGGGCTGTGCATACTGAAAATATATCTAGTGCAGACACTGTATGTGAAAGTGTCTGTTGTGTAAGTGGTGTGCTGCAAATGTACTATCATTGTATATCATTTTCCTTGCTTGGATCTTAACAGAGTTCTGGGGAGTGACTTCTGTGATTGAACGAGTCTACCTCTGGCTGTTCTCTTCGCACAGAAGTTTCTCAGTCTTATGCAGGGGATGGAGCTGTAACTATTCTTCATGTATCCAGAGAATCACAGAATATCCTGAGTTGGAAGGCACCCACAAGAATCACTGAGTTCAGCTCCTGGACTGGAAATTTCATGATTGGGCAATTAGCTTTGTCTTAACTTTGTCATCTTATTGTGGGTAGTGCACAAACTGAGCAAGTACATCCAAAAGCAGAATCACTGTAGAAGCAAGACTTTTATAATTAAGTGGCACAAATTTCATTTTGATAGAATCTGGAATGTAAATGAATCTTGGGTATAGAAAAATCCCCTTTTATTTGAAAATCTGTCTCAAGATTGTAAGCTCAATAGAAACACTGTAATGAAAACTGTTCCAGTATGTTTGTTATCTGTTTGGCTAATGTGTGCCACTGAGGAAATGCATGTAATAGCTTCTGTGGTTGTGCACAGGGTCTGCTGTACTTTGAGCAGGTTATGGTTGCATCTGTTTCCTCTGATACAGGAGTGTGTTTGTAATGTATATTTGTACATTACGATGTATAAGTGTCAGTTTATTGTAAATAAGATGCATAAAATATTATAGCTATAAAAGCAGTAAGGTGATCTTTTATACACACACACATACCATGTATAATTTATAAACCTATTTATGTCTTGTCCTTCTCCAAAAGGGGAAAATTCATTATATTAGTCTTTCTCAGCCTTTGTGCTTCTTCTAAAGGAAGAAACATAAGTTTCTGTATTACCTTTGCATCAGATGCAGCTATGCTAGGTAGGTTGTTGGACCCTTTTATTATCATTTATGATGTTATGTGTATACTTGAGTCACATGCTGATTGTACAGCCATAATGCTGTATGCTGCTAGCACATGTTTCCAAGCATGCATACTCAACCCACATCACATACACCTTTGGAGTTGTAGCCAGTAATTTTGTGTCCTTCAAGTTTATCTAAAACTTGAAAACATGCCTTGTTGTGCTAATAAAACCTGTGCAACACTTGGACCATGTTTGCAAAGTTATTTTTAATTGTGAAGAAAATGAGAGCTATTTCTTGTATCCTCTTCTGACAGATACACAGCACATGTCACTTGGATTCTCTGTTCTTATTACTTATACAGCCAGCCTTGGGTGAACATGATGGAAGGACAGGCAGCAATCTAGGATGACAGGAATTCAAGAAGACAGTGAAAATTAAAGGTTTGGGTTTCTGACAGGCATCTTCTGAATCTTGCTGAAGTAATGTAAGACGTTACTGCCTCTGAAAGAGATGGTAATCAACTCTTGCCAACTGTTCCTCTGCTCTAACTAGAGACTGCCATTTCCCTTGCAGGGGAGCAGAACATTAGTCATAGAATTGTAGAACAGCCCAGGTTGGAAGGAGCCTGAAAAGATCATCTGGTCCCACCTTCCCTGGGAAAGGAAACCTAGATGAGACTATCTTAGGCCCTGTCCAATTGCATCCTGAAAACCTCCAGCAATGTGGACTCTGTCATGTCTCTGGCGAGTTTGTTCCAGTGATTGATTGTTCTCAAATAATCTGTCTGCATAGTGACTTTGTAGGATATACCTGCAGCTTCAGGGGTGAAAAAGGTGCTATACTGGAGTGGGAATGGAGGTAGCAGAAAGATGAGCAAGAGTTCCCTTGTGCTGCTCTGATGGTGGCAGGAGGCTGTGTTGGCCTGCTGTGGGCAGCGGTATTGGAAACTGCTGGGAGGGCCTGTGTCAGTGCCCTCAGAACACTTCTCTAAAAGTTGCAATCTTTTCTCATTTTAGACAACAGAACCACAGCCCATGTGTTATCCTTGGTTTTAAAAAAACTTCCAAAATTCTGTGGTTTAATTTTACATGTAGTTTCCTTGTATTTCTATTTTTATTACCAATATAGTATATAAAGAAACAGATTCAGCCATGAATATTGCCTTGGTTTTGCAATAGATTATTACATTTACGTCCAGATAAATTTAATTTTTTTCCTTAAAGATCATAGAATAGTTTGGGTTGGAAGGGACCTTTAAAGGTTGTCTAGTCCAATCCTCCTGCAACGAGCAGCAATGTCTTCAGCTAGATTAGAGCTCTGTCCAATCTGACCTTGAATGGTTCCAGGGATGGGGCATCTGCCACCTATGGGAAACTTGTGCCAGTGTTTCACCACCCTTATCATAAAACCAATTCCTTTTATCTAGTCTGCTATTAAGATATTAAGGTTTCTATTCTTTTTATAGCTGTTGTATAAATTACTTTAATTGAAGAACAATAGGCAAAACTTGTGTTCACTCATTTTACTCGTACACTAAAAATTGTAGAAGGTTTTGCCATGAATTAACTGAGTTGCTGAAAGTGTAGTATTTTATTTCTGCACAATACAGCTGTTGTATACCTTTAGTGGAGATTGTTTTGCAATCTGATTCTTGTTCTTATCCTTTGTTCTTACCCTTGTAGTGCAGTGTCTGAGTGTCTTGCTGCTTCCTATTACACAGTCGGTTGCTTATTGCAGATTGTCTCTATAGGAGATTAAGGATTTGGGATTTTATTTTTAATGTAATAGGGGTAGTAGTAAGTAATAGTAACCCTCTGGAAAAACACAGGAAATCATCCGAATAGTTTGTTTTAAGAGTGTGTGTGTATATACACACAACACCTGTATAGACTTGTTTTAGGGAGGTCTTAGAAAAACTGTATCAAATAAGAGCAGATTTACATTTTGTGTTTTCAAATCAGTATGTTGTTTCACTAGTACATTTAATGTCATTAGTTTTCCAAGAACCGTGCCAGCTCTAACAGTGGGAGAACAGAGCAGGTATGAATATCATTGCTGATTTTTTGCTTTTAGGCACTTAGATATTCTGTATTTGCTGACAACTTGAAATTCTCTTACCTTTATGTGGGTATGTATATATATGCATATATATATATATATATTGGCAAATATACAGTATACTTTATTTCTCATTTGTCTTTCTGATTTTTTTAACTCCATGATGCAATAGTACAATTGTATTCAAGCAAAACCCCTTACCAACTGCACAGGTGGGGTAGTAACATATTCAATAGTTTGTGTAGTGAGATGTATTTAAGCTTACCAGAAATTAAGAATCCTCTATTGCAAAGTCACTTGATATGGACAGGATTGTTGTTGTTGAAAGAATTTGCCAAAACTAACAGGTGGGTAAGTTTCTTAGTATTTTGATGTCACTTTTGCAGCAGCTAATTTATCACTGCCTCAAGACATCAGCTTGCATGGCTTTATCATCTCTTCTATTAGTTTATCTAGTAATTTATGGAGGTTGAAATCTTTGAGTTCCCAGCACTTGCTTCTGTGAATTAACATAAGTTTTTTTTTTTAGTGCAGGCAAACTAAATATAAGTATATAATTTAAAACTGAACATATGCTGAAATGTTTCCCTTTTTTAGGTCTTGGTTTCTTGATTACCCTTTTTTCTCCC